TAGCATTAAAAGTCACTCTTTAGGAAGAAAGTACCTTGCAGAACAGGGGTGGAAGTCTTCCTGTTCAACAGGTTTGCTAGTGTGTGTTGTGACTATCACAACCAGGGGGCAGTGTGCACCAATTATAGTGTAGGAAAATGCTACAAAAAGTAACCTGGAGTGTGTTTGCTGATGTAGCTACAAATTATAGTGTTTTTGCATATTTCTTTATGATTTTTGTTAATAAATCTGTAGCTAGCATATGGTTAACAGTAAATAGGGAGTTATCTTCCAGCTCCATTTACTGAGACCCCATGCAGAATGCTATACACCATCTGGGGTTCACACTGTGGCTGGAGACAGATGGCTAAAAGACTCCTGTTACAGGAGCCATCCCTTCTCAACTTTAATGAACAGTTAATCCTCTCTATCACACAGCATAATTTCCTATTATATCAGATAATTCGAAGCAAATGCAATTAAAATTAAACTTTAGAAACTCGTGCCATAGCACAGCCCAGTTCCAGTGGTGAATGAAGAAAGGGGAGTGCATCTATTTTGTATGTGCTGCTTCGGTTTGCTTGTTATGTAATCGAAAAACATAAATCCTTAATACAGAATCAACATTTTTAAAATGCAGTTTGCCTGAGCAGGTGACCCCTGATTAAAGGAAAAACACTGACACCATTTGTCAAAATGCAGAAGTACATTCATTTCATAAATTGCCTGTTGCTGAGTTTTTATGTTTTGTTTTTACAGTGACTCTCCTGTGTACTCAGTAGGATACTGTAACTACAGACAGGGCATAAAAAGAACATATGGCTTTCATGGAAGTCCATTAAACTTCACTGCTTCTCATCTATCCCACTAATCCTCATCCATAATGTTTATAGCCAAGTTAATTGAACTGGCACATCTCTGTGGGATTGGAGATCCCTTCTAAGAGGTTCTAAAGCCACTTTTTTTTTTGCCAAAGCATGCACATTGCTAAAACCACCACGGCTTCTGAAATAGGTGCAGCTGTTTGACCAGTAACAGTTCTTCAAGTGACTGTGTGGGTGGGTTATTTAGGGAAAAAAAGGGCCAAAGAGCCTAGTTTAATTTTCCACCAACATAATGCTTACATAATGAAGTGAACAGCAAATAATAGTTTGGGATACATTTCTACATTACGAGCCAATGAAGTGGTCACTTTTTCTCATATGGACAGTGACTTTGACTAAGTGATGCTAATGCATTAAATCAATTAATAATACCTTAGTATAAAATGTAAAAAAATAAAGAAACATTTCTCACTTTTCCTGCATTCATAACTATGAGCATTATAGTAAGCAAATGCACTTAAATGTTTTAAGTGAAAATACTTTAATATACAGTGTTATTATAGCACAGTATACATTAAAAAAAGCACACTATCATTGATGCATTAGCAAGCTTTCAGTCTTCTAGCAGCTTGAGCTTGTTGTGCATACTTCATTGAGTATATGTGGAAGTGGTGTTCAGACACTTTACATACATATGCTGCATTAACAATGAAGAACAAGCCACTGCACCCAAAAGCATTGCAAAGTAAAAGTACCGCATGCAAGTGCTACTATCAAAATATAATGTAAGTAACTGTAAGTTCCAGTATCTTTGACAATTACTAAAATGCACTGGCCATTGTCAGTGTTTGTCTAGGAAGGTCTAAGAGGTTTTAAGTGTGCTTATTCTGAAGTTTGGCCCACACAAGAAGAAAAACGGAGCACAATATTTTGAAGCCAGCAATTGATTTTCACAGTTTACTGTGAGTCAAGTTTATTGAGGTTACTCTGGAGCAATGTGGTTTACTTTGAGACAGTGAAAACAAAGACATTATTTTACTCCTACAGCAAGTGTCTTTTGTTGTATCATTTCAAGTACAGAACACAGCACCCATTTCAACAGATATGAATACATTATATAATAAGTAATGTGTCATCAGTGCAACGAGGGACTTTTTAGAGACTAATTTAAATATTTCATATGTTTTTCAGTAAATAGTGCAGCCACATGAAATAACACAACCTGTTATAGAAATGTTTGGAGTGGCTAACTAAGAGCAGTTTGTGCAGTTTTTGAGGATCCCTGAGGTTCTTGACGATCCACCCTCTCATTTTCCATGTACGCCTGCACCGACTGCCACAGCGCCTTGATGTTCCCCTCGCCAAATCCCGTTGCCCCTCTTCGCTCAATCAGCTCGAGAAAGAAGGTGTTCTCAGAAAATATGGGCTTGGTGAACACCTGTAGAAGATGTCTGAAAGGGGAAAAGCAGCACAGTAGATTCACTTTCAGCCTCGGGACTGTTTCCACAACTTTTCATTGGTGAATACAAAAAAATAAAAAAATAAAAAATTGTGGTTCGTGTCTTTCATCATTATTGCAGCAATTTTAAACGAAGTCAAGCAGTTTTCACATGCATGTTGCAAGCCAAACGGGCTTCTGTAATTGTACTGAATAGTAAAACAGGAACATGTCCTCATTTTAATAGAGATGACTGATAAGGTTGTTTGCTGACATTGAGCAGCCATACATCACACAAAACTTTCACAGTGTTTCACTTATTTAATAAGATAATGCCAAAGATAGTTAAAAGAAACCATTGACTAAAACAATTTACAAGAGAGGCATTCTTTGAAGGCTGTGAGAGATTACAACTCTTGATTGGCTCTTACCTTTTACTTTCACTGGATGCTCTCTGTGATAAAGGATCCTGGTGCAGGTCTGTATCCAGGAGAATCCCATGCTGTGCTAGCATCTGGGGGCTGTGACCTGCTTCCTCTATTTCCTGCTGTTTTCCCAGCTGCCACAGCGAATGGGATGGGTTTAAAAAGATGGAAAATTCCTTTATTTTTGAACTTGTTACAAAGTCTGTAATTATAGTGTTTGCTCCTGTGATTACTGGTACAAAGCAGACCCTGTTCTCCTTCTGTGTGGTGATGGCATAACCTTGAAAAGTGTGATAATGACTTGGATTATGTGTTCTAGTGGGAGAAGTTTGCCTTCAAAGCCCTCTTTTCTTTGATATTGTTTTCAGCCTTAAGTCACAGTTCAGCTAGGTTTTAGGCATAACTACTTTGTCAAGTGTGGTAATATGTCATGGTTTGGATCAAAATGTACCCTTTTAACAAGATCTGAAAAATCTCTGAAAGCCTGCCTTGCAGGAAGTATGAGGACAAGCTTCTCCCAAATTCCCAAAATTTCAAAATCCAGGCCAACTATATAAATTAAACAGAACTATAATGTGAAAATATGAATAAAACACAGGTCGCTTCTTGCAGTGATTATAGTTCAAAATCATTCAAACCTGAGTGTAATAGGCTGGAGGAGGGGAGGAAAATTGTACGCCAGCTTCAGCCATCGTGTGCGCAGTAGAAACAATGTTTTTGGTGTACAGCCCAATGTGCTGGATCCCTGGGGCCCTATGCTGCTCCAAGAAGGTGTCAACCTGGTTCCGGCCTGACAAAGCAAATGCAAACAATGATGGCGGAGATCATAAATAGTGGCTTAAATTAGAAACTAGGGGTTTCTATTACCTTGTTCGGGCAGTGATTCCGCAATGACAAACTTGCAGTCAGGCTCCTTTTTGCCAGCAAAAGGAAGAGCGATGCCTGCTTTGCTGCACTTCCAGTACTCCATGGCAGTAAGTCGAAGCCCAATGCCCTCCTGGTTTATCACAAAACCTTCATCCACGTCTTCATTACTATTCAGGAGAACAAACAGCCTTGAGATTACTGACACCACGCTGGGGAAAAGATATGGCAACAAATGCCTCGGAGCAATTTCTCACCTATCAATGAAAAACCTCTGAAAACCAAAGACCTTCTCGTACCACCCCATGACCTGGTGGGTTGTCTTCCTGGGGCAGGCATAAGTTATGTGATCAAAGTGTGTGACAGGACAAGACATGTCCTCTTCTCCCAAGCTCCAGTCCTTTTCAATGACATCAAACCCTGGCAAAAAGACTCCCTCATAGTTTGTCTTCTCAATTAGCGTGTGACACACGTTTCCCACAATTGATTTTACTACCGAGTAGGTGACAGGACCATTCACGTCCTCAACGGTGGTGGGAGGCACCAAGAAATTACAGCCCAGATCGCGCAGAACCTTGAATGACCTTTGGACATCCTCTACCTCGAAACACACGTTGTTTACAGTATCCACCGGATGAAGAGGGCTTAAATCATAAAGACATCCCAAAGAATTATTACCCTGCTTGTACTTCTCCAAGTCAGCCCGCTGTGGATCAATGGAGTATCTGTCAGCTAATCCCAGTATCCCTTCATTCAGTCCCACTCTGCTCTTACTGGGTCTCTCATTTACGACGAAAACTGCTGCTCCTTTCCTGAAAGCAAACTGCTTGGACTTGTCAGTTAATCTGGCAGCAAATAAATCAAACTTGAATTTAGAGACAAGCTCATTAGCTATTTTCTCCGCGTTAGAAACGTGGAGCGAAACGTGGTGTAACCGGCTCAAGAAAACAGCCATGTTTTCAGTGACGTTTTGAAAGGGGCGTGTCCAGAGAAAGCGGAACCCTTGATTCATAACCGAAAAGCCTATTTTTTTCAGTTACATCAGCATACACTTAAAGCTTTTGCTATTCTTCACAGCTAGTTCAGAATTTAATTGGAATGTATTCAAAATATAATTTAAGAAATTAAACAATTTACAGACTCACCATGGTTTCTATGCTGCTTATAAATATCGGATTTAATATCCATACGGATAATGTCATATTTATGTAATCCAGTTTTCTATCCCAATCTTTGGGGACATCTTTGGGGATGTGTAAACTATCCAATCGCAAATGTCTTAGCATGACTAACATCAACATGTTTTTGTCTAGTGCAATGTGCCTAAAAATCGACAAAATGTGCAAAGTATTTCAGCGACGTGGTTATCAACTCTTTCTGCGTCCTAAAAATTAAACCCCCCAGGGCGTTTTGACTGTTCCGGACGTTCCTGAAGGCAACACAGTACTTTACCTTTGTCCAATCACGTTGAGAACTCAGCCAGATGATTGGTGACGGAGGCAGGCCAGCGTTTATTTTGGCTCTGCTACTCATTTGTCTGCTGTCGCCGCCATTAAACAACACGGAGGCAATGTAAACCACGGAGAGTCGCGGATTTAAACGATGATTCGAGGTGTTCCAGGCTTTGCCGGGGATTGCTTTGTTCCGCCAGTGGTTAACGAGTCCATGAAGGTAAACATGTGAGAGGGCAGAGGAGTCGAAATCATTCGGATTGGGAAAGGTTTGATTGAGCCGGAGGAGGAGGAGAGGAGGGGAGGAGGGGGAGTGAACGAGAAGGGTTTGTTGTGGTTTTCGGCGGCGCAGCGCAGTCACGAAACGGTAAGATTATCACATTTTTCTTCACATGAATGAAATTATGACCTTTTCCATGACTGTATGCTCCGTCGTGCGCGTTAATCGTTGGATTTGATGGCAGTTAGCTCTATATATGCTAGGAGGTTAGCTCAGTAGCTAGCAAGCTAAAGCTAAAGACTAAAAACATAACTGCAGAGTAACACAATAGTGTCTTTAGTCAGATGAGTTAAAACCGCGCTGTTAACCATTCTTCTTAGAGTTACGGATTATTAAGGATTCCAATCAAACACTCTAAAATGTAATCTTGCCAGTGTGTCATTGAATGTGCCCGATCAGATGCAGGTTAGTTTACAAACTGCTGGAGCATATGCTGGACGGAATTCTTATATCTAAACACAATGGTTTGTAATACCTGCTTATTCGAGATTATTCGCAGAGCTATTGTTTATGTCTCAACTCTAACGGGATTTTTCACAACAGTGCATCCAACTAAAGTAGTCCACAATGACGGAGCAGAGGATAAAGTGGGCCTGTGACTACTGCACCTATGAAAACTGGCCATCTGCAATCAAATGTACTATGTGCCGTGCACCGAGGTTGAGGGGACCCATTATTACAGAGGAACCTTACAAAAATAGTCCTGATCTGGACCCCGGGCTGGAGTGGGAGCCTTCTAGAAGTGAAAGTGGCAGCAGCCTCCTCATCTGTCCTGATTCCAGTGCCAGGCCTAGAGTCAGGTCACCCAGTATGGCTGAGATTGCCAATAAGTGGTCCTGCCAGATGTGCACCTATCTGAACTGGCCTCGTGCCATCCGTTGCACACAGTGCCTCTGTCAGCGCCCGAGGACCAGCAGCCCCACTGAGTCCCCACAGACGTCAGGCTCCAATGCAGGTTGCCGCCCTGCTCTCCACTCTCCTGTGGATACCTGTGAGGAGTATAATGACAGAAACAGACTCAACACCCACCAGCAGCACTGGACATGTACCGCCTGCACTTACCAGAACTGGCCCAGAACTACAAAATGTGTGGTGTGTGCCCTCCCCAGGCCCAACAACCAAGAAGCCATAGAGCTGGCCGAGTCTGCGGAGCCCTCACCCGTAATCAACGAGCAAGACAGGGCTCGGTGGAGGGGCAGTTGCAGCGAAGGCCAGGGGCAAAGGAGATCCCCTCCTATGCCCAAGAGGGAAGATCATGTCACTATGGATTTCCAGAGGATAGAGCTTGCAGCTGGAGCCATGAGCAAAGAGGAACAAGAAGTCGACTTCAAGAGGTTAAAGCAGATTAGGAACCGAATGAAGAAAACTGACTGGCTGTTTCTTAGTGCATGTGCTGGTGAGTTTTTTTTTCCCTTTCTACGTTACATGTAATTTCTGCATGGATTAGGATATCAGTTGGTTCATAGCAAATGAATGATGTGAAAATGTGCTTGTTTCTTAATTTTGTTTAAAAAGAATACACTCCCCTATGTCATGTTTTTCTTATAACAACACTTTTTTTGTGTGCGTCTGTGATGTCATGCTAAGCGACAGCAAAGCATTGTACTCCAGACAGAGGTGGCAGTTATTGTCCCCAATGCAACACATTTTCTGTGTTATTACATTGCAGATGGTGCATCACTCTGCAAAGTGCCAAGGTTGCACAGCACTAAGAGCCACTTTGTATTTTATAAATGAGTGACGGCATGACTCATTGTTTAGTCTCCAAATATTAGAGTACAGAAGAAATTCCTGCTGTGTTATTTCATAGGGCGGTGCCATCAGGTAAATACTGCTGACTGCAATGAAAAAACCATAAAATGTGGTAAAAGGGAAAGTAGGAATTTGGTCCAACTCACCACTGATGTTCCCAGTGCTTTTACTTGGGCTCTGAGAGCATCTTTGAGCAACTGAGAGGGTGTGAGTGCTTCCCAGCTGGTGGGGATGAATGGGCCGTCTGGGCAGCGTAGTGCAAGTGCAGCCCATGGAGCAGAGAGTCTCCTGGCTCACAGTCAATAGACCCTGTAAACAGTGACGCGTATGTGCTGAACAGAGCCCCCCAAGAGGTAAAAATAACATTGACAGGACATTAAAAACAGTCAACAAAAAACAGAAGGAAAAAAAAACATGAGTGCAGCACATGATCAACGCCCCCTTGACCTTTGCACTGATTGAACTTGGCAGTATTTTTTATTTTTTTGTCGTTTTCTTTTTTTCCCCCCTCTCCCTACCGCTGTCCTTAAAGACATGGGAAGACTCGTGTATTAACTTTAAATATGGCTGAGCCTTTTTTTCTTTTCTTCTTCTTCATACCATGTCTCTGACTCTTTACGGTTATATCGCATGTGCTCTTCAAAGTGTTTGTCAGTGGAGGAAGTGCCTGAGTCGAGTATGTTATGGCCAAGCACTTCCTCAGGTCTGAAAACACGATCTCACTTCACTTTACTGTGTTCCTGCAGTTCTACTTTAATGTTTTTTGTGCTCCGTACAAGAGCCAAAATCAGATGATTCCCATTGATTGTGCTTTCCCACAAAAGGAAGCGGACATGGTTTTGTATTATGGTTCTTTTGTTTCAGTGAAAAACCTAACTGGTGTCTCTTGCTGTTGCCGCTCTGTTTATATTTCGATGCGGTTCCTGATAATGTGGTGTGGGAGAAAAAAACATTATCAAGGATCTCTGTTTGTTTTGCTTTCAGAAGATTAAATTAATCTCGATGATGAACTGAATTTTTCAGATGATTCAAAAAATGCAAGCCCACCACTTTGTAGTACTTATGGTGAGAGATATCGAGAAACAAACACAAACAGACATTGATTTCATTTGTTCCAGCACATTACTTTTAGATAACCATAGGTTACTGTGGAGCAGCTGATTGAGAAACAATGTCAGACTGTGTATTTGTTAAGCGCAGACCAATATTAGCTCAAAGTCTTTCACAACCTGCATGATGTGCATTGATCAGACTGTAGGCACTGCTGGGATCAGACATGCTCTCATGAAGCTGACCTTGTCAAGCATGCAAAGGCAAAATATTCTGACATGTTAGTTCACTGAGGGCGTAATGAGGCGTTCTAGTTGGGATAAAACCACAAACCATCATACCTAAAAACCTCTATGACCCATCTCTGGGTGATTGGGTCATTATGGGGACGAATATTACATAGCCTAATCTTTTAATGGGTTGCAGTTGCTAAAACTTAAATGTCTTCATTTACATTAAATGAAAGGACCCATACAGCGCTCCGAAAGATAAAATACTGGTTAGGGCTGCCACAAACCATTATTTTGATAGTCGACTAGTCACCGATTATTTTTGCGATTAGTCAACTAATCAGATCATGCATTTATTGGACGTAAAACGTACAGCTTATTGCACTAGCATGCATCTGCTCTTATATAACTATCATTAGCTTACAGCTTTAAGTGTTTACGGTATGTGCTAACTAAAAATAAAGACAAGATGATAGTTTATTAAATTTGAATGAAATTTGCAGATACGTTCACACTGCAGGTCTTATTGCTCATTCCGATTTTTTTAAAAAAAATTTTTTATTTTTGATCAAATCCAATTTTTATTTTTATTTTTTTTTGTGTCTGCGTGTTCACACTACAAATAAAATGCGACAGCAAACGCGCTCTAGTGTGAACGCTCAAAGCGGCCCGCATGCGCAAAAGAAGACTTCACACACAACGCGCTCTGTTTAGACCCAGACCAAACAGTATTGTTTGACAGATGGCCGTTAATATAAAGACTTCGGACTTTACGTTTCCCAATTTTTGCTTTAAGTTATTTTGTTATTTACATAATAATGTAAATAACCTAATAATTATCCTTATTGCTCTTTTAGAGGAGCGGTGCTTCAAAGGATAGTTGCAGATTTCTGTCAGAATCTGCAGATTATACAGAACAAATAAAATGTTCACGTTTCTCCAACGATGTCTTCCCAACAGTTCCACTGACATCTACACTGGATGGCCAGGAAGCGCTCGTTCGCGATGTCTTCTCGGGCCCTTCTCCGGAGCTGATAATTGGCGTCTGTCTTGTGTCGGTGACGTAAAAGACGGATTTAATGTGACCTGACCGTTCAAACAGCAGTCGCTTTCTAAAACATCGGATATGTATCGGATTCAGTACCACATACGAAAGTGACCCAGATCAGATTTGAAAATATCGGATTTGTGCCGTTCACTGTCATACCATGATCGGATATGGGTCGCATAGGGTAAAAAAAATCGGATTTGATGCGCTTTCGCCTGCAGTGTGAACGTAGCCTTATATATATTTAACCTGAGAGACGGCGGTGGGTTTGAAAACGATTTGCTGGGAGTCCGGTGTTCTCACGGGCTCTAGTGAGCCTTGCCCTCGGCTAGCTATCGAGCTAGTGGGTAACAGACGTCTCCGAAAAGCGCTTTTGAAAATATATGGTGTCTTGATAAACTGAGCAGATATTTGAGGTTTACACAGCTACATTCTCGCCTGAAAATATGTTAAACGTTTATTTTGTGACCCAGAAAGAATAATAAGAGTAACATTAAAACTAACTAGCTGCCGCCATTGTTGGAAACTGAGCTGGGCTACGCTATGAATTCTGGGACACAGCTACTTCTTCTTCTTCGGGGTTTAACAGCAGCTGGCATCCTTGTACATGCAGTGCTGCCATCTTCTGTTTCAGTCCGTTATTGCACTCTTAAATCCTGCTACTTATTCCTGCGTCTTTTGTGATCTTACAAAGCTTCAAACGACGCGTCGACTATTAAATCAGTCGTCGATGATTCTGATAGTCGACGTAATCGTGACTAGTCGACTAATCGTGGCAGCCCTAATACTGGTCGAGAAATCTGGTTTGCACTAATGCTTGCTCAACATGCCAATGCACATTACTTGACCATCCAATTACTTGTTTCTCGGTTTTTAGAAAGTCTTCATAACTTCTCTTTTATTGCTTTTGTTTTATATTACAAAGATTGGTATGAGTCACACAAGAAAGGTCTGGGGTTTTTTTTTTTTTTTGGTTTTTTTTTTGCAAACCTAGCTGCCTTAACCAGTAGGATATCTCTCCATCTATCCATTCCCGTTTATCAGGGACTTGATACAGCAGTCTAATCAGTGATGTCATGGGAGACAGCCAGGTGAGAAACGTAATCTCTCCTGCATGTTTTAGGATTGCACTGGGTCTCCTCCCAGTTGGATATGCTAGAATCCCCTCAACTAAGAGCCATCCAGGAGGTATCATAGTCAACTGCCTGAACACTGACCCTCTTTCGAACTGCCATTCTCGTCATCCTATCTCTAAGGGTACACTAGTTGCAGATTGCTGATAAAAGCAGCGGAAATGAGCAATCAGTTCTTTTGGGTCACTACCCAGAGCTCACGGCCACAGGGAAGGGTAGGAACATAGATCGACCAGTAAATCAACAGCTTCAGCTTGACGCTGAGCTCACTCTTCACCACGACAAACTGGTTACAGCATGCACATCAGTGCAGATGCCGTCAGTCTCCCACTCCACTCTTCCTCCAGTTGCAAACAAGATCCAGTGATACTTGAACCCCATGAACTACCACTGCTTTTTGCGTGACATTTGTGCTGTTGCGTCAGGGAGTAAGTAAATTTGTCTTGGGTCGGGTACCAGACTGCTATGATGATGATAACAAGAATTTAAGGATCCTAGCTATCATCTTGGTGAAACCTCGTTTGTCGATTGCACTGCAGTGCATGCTTTATTGGGAATCACTGTTTAAAAATGTAGTTTAGCATGTAACCACATGCTTGGGTAACAAAATATTGAACGAAGAGAAACCATTAAGCTGACCGATGGAAATGTTTTTTTAAAGTTCATCACGTTTTAGTGCGGGCCTTCATATTCTGTGAGGCAGCCCACATTAAGTGTACTGCCTCACTTGAGCACACTTGATGTTGGCCCTCTATTAATGGTTTGGAAGAACAGAGCCCAGACAAAGGTTTACGGTTTGTTTATCTAAGTCTAAATTTAGCAAAACTGCCTGTATTCACTGAAAACGGGTCACCGCATTCTTGAGTTCCTTTGAGGTCTCCCGCATAGCAACAGCTATTGCAACTCAAATCATTCTGCATGTATTTATAGATCTGTTTGCAAAATGTCACCCAGTATGTGTAAAATGAGAAGGGTCATGCTTGGAATGTTTTAGTCCAGATTCACTCAACTGTCCTCTTTCCTGCCTGAGAGAACATCCTGATGTAAGGCAGCCAGTTTAAATAAAGCAGCTCTTCCAGTGTCCTGTTTGCTACCTGGCTGTTTCACTCATAACAGATGTTGAGACTAGTAGGTTCAACACACTGTCCTATGTGTTACACAGCTCTCTGATAGCGCCACATTACAGCTACACTGCTCTGTCTGTTCTGCTATGTAGTAGCCCGACAGTGTGATAACTGTTCTTGCACTCGGTTAGCTCGTGCCTACATCTAAAGGTCATCAGAGCTGTCGAATGACATCAAGGCCCTATTTAATTTTTTCCTCTAGTTGAATTTGTTTTACAAATTTCTCCCAGGTTTTAATATTAATAAATTGTGACTTGCGATGTTGTGTTAACACATTTAAAGCTGTCTGTTACATCTTGCTTCTACAAGAACAGACATGGGGATTGAAGCTGCTCCAAAAAATATATCTAAACCATTTTTAAAATGGATTTTAATGTTGTTGTTTTTTTTTGCTGATACATGTATGTTCTTTTGATTATCTTTTGAATACACTTGCTTGTTTCAGTATGCCTAAGTAATACTAATCCAAAGTAATAAAGGCTACATTGCAGATGGGTTATGATGTTTACAAAGGTGTTGAACCTTTTATGGTCAGCTCTGAGGTTGGACTTGTAGTGCTGTTAAATGGCTTGTGTTGTATCATTTAGTCTTCCCTATATCGATGCACCGCACTTGAATGTGTATGTCATGTGATGACATAAATGGCCGACTATGTTGACATGAGTCACTCTATTAAAGTTTGGTAGCCTCACTACGCACAATCCTAGAAAAGAAGCTGTGTCAGCAATATTTAGGCACTGATTCATCACTTTTAACAGTTGTTTTCCATTATTTTTCCTTTTTAATTATTTATTTTTTAAACCTTCCTTCCTTCCTTCCTCTCCTGCAGGCGTTGTGGAGGGAGACCTGGCGGCAGTAGAAGCTTATAAGTCATCCGGTGGCGACATTGCCCGACAGCTCACTGCAGACGAGGTGCAGCTCCTTAATCGGTCCTCAGCTTTTGATGTAGGCTTCACTCTGGTACATCTGGCTATTCGCTTTCAAAGGCAGGACATGCTCGCCATTCTGCTAACAGAGGTAAGCATAGTCTTGAATCTTTGAGCAAAAATTTGCCATAAGTTTTTAAACTTAAGAGGATTTATGTCAGTTTTTATAAAAAAGATCCAAAAAATTCTAACATGCCTGTAAAGTCTTTATGTTACAGAAACTTTTCATTTTTAAGTGCTTTTTTTGTATTTCTCATTATCAGCCACAACCGCTTATAATTGCTCCTTACCAAGTGTGCTATATAATGAAAAATAGATGCTCTTAATGCATAGAATTACAGCAGAAAAGCACTTTTTTAGAATTAGGGGGGTATTAGAATTGCTGCTATTCTGTCATTGTTTCTTATGGGGCATGATAACAGAGTTGATGTGGTTTCGGAGAGCAAACAGTGATTAGGAAAAGGCACAGGAAGCATGTTGGCAAGCATAGAAAGGCAGGTCTTTACTATGCATGGGAGAGTTTGATCCCCAGTATGACAAATGCTTGGGTGGGTAAGGTGGACCAACTTCCTCTTTTGTGCTGCGTGAAATGCATGGGAACCATGTCTCGACGCCGTATGAGTATGTGTCAAGGATCTCGTCTCTGTTTGAGAAGATTCACTAACACTACTAAAACTGGAATTGACAATTCAAACAAAATTGTGAGCAAGAGAAGACAACGGTGTATCCGAGTGCACAGGATGGCAGCGCATTCACTCTCGGCATGCAGTGTGGGTGAATACAATGCTTCTGTTTAATAGAATTGGCACTGTGCCTGCCCAGCTTTTGATGCTAACCCTCCTGGCGTGCTGCAGCTGATGGACAACATCTGGCGCGCTACCATAATGTCGTGGGTGGAGCTTGCGGTTTTGAATTTTCAGTTTGGGAGGGCAAGCATTTAGCATAACAAATCTTTTGGGGTAGTACATTTGCAGACGTATCTTAAGTGTAGATAAGTTAGCTTAGTTTTAGTTATATAGTCCAAAGTTCACAAATTCATTTAATCTTTTAATTTCATTGTAAAATCAAAATTATTAATCTGTGTGCATGTCTACAAGGTGAGCCAGCAAGCAGCCAAGTGCATCCCTTCCATGGTGTGTCCCGAGCTGACGGAGCAGATCCGCAGAGAGATTGCATCTTCACTACGTCAACGTAAAGGAGACTTCACCTGTTACTTCCTCACCGACTTGGTCACTTTTACTCTGCCCGCAGGTACTTGGGTCTTAATGCTTATACCACTTTTTTTTATTTTTATTGGTGTGTGTTTGTGCGTGTAATCTAACCTCTCTTCCTGTTTATCCCTTTATCAGTTTTGCTTTATGGGCCTGTGCTCGCAGAAATATATAATTTTTCCTGTAGCCTCAATAAACAGCTCAGATTAAACTCCCACCCCAACAACCAGTCTTAATATTTGTCATGTCTGACACTGAATATTACTGGCTCCATTTACTCTGGAAGCAAGCAACGGGGAAATAATTACTTTTGTGCTCTTTGGGATTCTATTCATGGCTTCTCTGTAGAATTTTCTTCTACACAGTATAAATGTCTAAATTGTCAATGTGTGAACTTGAGTGTAAGAATAGGACCCCGCCGCATTGCTCAGAGAAACATCAGCTCGTCCCTGTGGCATTATGTCTTCACTGAAATGACATGCACTTTACTTTTAAGAACACCCACTGTTCTGATCTAGTCCTGCTGCTGCCCCTGGGAGCAAAGATTATGAAGCCTTTGCATATAAATTCGAATTTTTGTGTGTGTGCGTCTAATGCCAAGCATTTCACTACAGAGTGAATTTGGCCCGAGGCCAGCTGCAGGGCACTCGCTCTCTCGCTTTGTCTGTTTGTGTCTCTCTTGCTCTCAGACAAAGCCAGTGCCATTCACTATTGAACCAGAGAACAGCCACCAGTGTTCTGGCTTTGTGTGTGCACAGTTCAATACACAGAGCTTGTATTTACAGTGTGCCATTGACAAAATGCCATCCAGTGAAGAACATCCCCTCTGTGTGTCATTACTGTAGCATTTATGTTGCCCTCGGCCTTGTCTACCATTAGGTTATAACGAGCATGAAAACCTATCTTTCCCATGTTTCTCTGCAGATATAGAAGACTTGCCGCCTGCTGTCCAGGAGAAGTTGTTTGATGAGGTGTTAGATCGAGATGTGCAGAAAGGTACTGAAGATGTCATTCTTTATATCCTGTGTCATATTCTCAATCTGTCCAGTTGCATGTTTTCAGCCATTCACGTCCTGCAATAGAAGGGACTTTAAACTAGCATCTTCCCCGCCTGTGTTTGTCTTCAATCAGCTCCCCACCTCCTGCTTCGTCTTCTTTTCCTTCTCTAATTAGGTTAATTGAGCTCACTAGTTTCCCTCCCACATACTTATCTAATGACACTCTCCCAGTGCAGCTGTGTGTGTGTTTTGTGTTTCAACGAAGATATAAAAGGAGTGTTATGACCCATTTAAGCCACCTTAAAGTGGGCTACTGGATAGAGCTGCCTTGAGTTTCTGGTGCAGAATATGATTGCATATTCAGGGAGATGTGTTTAATAATATTCCACGATGGGAAGAGAAAAGCAGAAAAGCAGGTTTTGCATTTTGCATTTTGTCCCTGTGGAAATAGCGGCTGCAGCAGCTGCACATCTGAAACGCTTAACGCAGCATCTGTGCAATCCCATGCTGAGTTTTTGGAAACACAATTTTTTGTTTTGATTCTTTTCATTAAACTATCAAATATATTAGCGGAGAAAATAAATGCAGCCAGTGTAAAACAAGTTCCTCTTTTGTGTTTTCACTGCAACAACATGGAACTTGATTAGTTATTGTCTCAAGTCCTCATAGTCCTCAACACCCAATCGCACATTTATATCTGTTTATAGAACTGGAAGAGGAATCTCCTGTTATCAACTGGTCTCTGGAGCTGGGGACACGCCTGGACAGTCGCCTCTACGCCTTGTGGAACCGCACTGCCGGAGACTGCCTGTTGGACTCTGTTCTGCAGGCCACCTGGGGCATCTACGACAAGGACTCTGTCCTCCGCAAGGCTCTCCACGACAGCCTGCACGACTGCTCCCACTGGTGAGAGGCTCAGCCCTACACAGTTCCTGTAGTCTGATACTTGACACTTGAAAATTTTCACAGGCTGCTCTCAGTTCATGTTGCATATTCAAAAATGGCCTCGTGTTATCTGCATAAAAACAAAGCGAGAGCAGACGAACTGAAAGAAATAAACTGCAAACAAGACTGGACACATTAAAACAACAACAAAAAAAAGTCATTCATCATTTCCCCCTCTACCAAGTTATGCTATTTTATTTAATTAGACTTTATTGTATTGATTCGATTCACTTTAACACAAGCACTTTGTTTTTTTTCTTTGTGAATTTATGACCTGTTTACATCATAATTATATTTATTTTAAAGTTTTTGCTATATTCTTGGAATACGAGTGACTGTAAATCCAGATTTTCAAACTGGTGTATAACAGAATATTCTTTCTAGAGGACATGCCTATAGACTACACTCATACAAGACAAAAAACATGGGTAAAAGTCCTTTTAATGAGCATTGCAGGTGCGTGGATTGTTCTGTTTATGTATAATTAAGACCTCTGGCACTTAAAGTGTAGCTCTTTTGAAGCCCTGTAAATGGATACATAAAGTAATCCATTCTATACAAGCAGGCTGAGCTCGAGGTCACCTTTAATTCAATAAGCTTTGAAAATAGTATAATAATCTTTTTTTTAAATAGGTTTTACACACGCTGGAAGGAGTGGGAGTCATGGTACTCGCAGAGCTTTGGTTTACATTTCTCCCTCAGAGAGGAGCAGTGGCAGGAAGACTGGGCCTTCATTCTGTCTTTGGCCAGCCAGGTAATTATGTTGTTGTCTCTGGTTTACAGCCTACCTTCACTTCCATTGAGTTTAAAGACAGTGGTACATTTTAAATTTTTTTTATTTTTTGGTCTACAAAAGAAATAGAAGCTGGAAAATGATGTATAAATTGATGCACTAACAAAGGCAAAACGGGAAGGATTATGACCCAAAACGTCTGTCTCCAAAATATTTACATAACAATAGTCCTTTTCCTCTCTTGCATTGTTTGCATATTCATTAGACTCTTGCAGCACTCCAGTCAGCAAAAGCGTGTGAGTCATATTGCAATAATTGTGGGAAAGCATCAAAATTGCAATGTATCGCCTGTATTTGATCAAGAAAAGGCAACTCATAAGATAGTTGGATGCATTTATATTTTGCTCACTCAACTCAAAAACTGTCATTTACAAACAGCTATCCTCAAAGAAACTCAATATGCACAATTAATACAGTTGAACAAATATCAATTAAATAAGCCCTTTTACATTGAAATCATTTGAAACCGTCTTTTCAAAGCTAGAAGCTGATCTGCTTAATATCTCGACATGAACGCAATCAGTCTGTTCGTGGAGCCTCTTCCATCTGGTCTCTAACACCGGGTAGTCGTGTTACGTGCACAACGCTCACTCCGCCGCCTCAAACAGGCCGATAGGTTATCTCGTCAGTACGGGCGTGCGGTTATGTAATTCAACAGGCTGACACCGCAGTTGCAAGTAGATTAATTGTGCTTGCCAACTTCACGACACCACCAGAAGTGCAAAACATATGTTAGTGTAGATATTGATTTGCTGTTTTGTCAGATTCTGTTGCTGCAGTGACCTCGACCACGGTTTGTTTTTGGGTTTGTTTGTTTTTTAAAACAACTCTATTTGAGGAAATAAAGGTCTGCATAAAGCACAAGCTACTGAAACTATGAACTATTGTCATATATGTGCATTAGTCTAAATGGGAAAAGACAGTCGGAAGGGTCGCACTGTGCATGGTGGATCATGTGTGAATGACAGATAGGACATAAGCAATTTACTGCTGATCCCCTAAGATGAAGTTGTAGACAGCTGATCTACCGGCACGCCTGCTGAAGCAGCACTCTCTCTCCCCAGCATGTGACCTTGGGATTTACAGGCATTTAGCTTAGAGCCACTCTACCAGCAGCACAAACAAACACAGCAAAAGCTACCAAGCAGTGACCTCGTCTCAGGCTTTGACAGCAACGGAGAGATGAGAGCCGAAGGATAAAAACCAAGCTTTTTAAATCCCATCCCACAAGGCTGAAACTTTGAAACCCCTTTTTATGCGATAGATCATTGCAGCAGTAGAATATTTAAAAGTGCTTATGTAATGTGCCCAATGAGAAGGAAAGAAAAGCGTTCATACTCGTGCATAAGATACTTTTCTCTTTGCAGTATGATCACAATGCCTAACTATTCTTATGCTTTTTCTTTTTCTCCTCTTTTTAGCCCGGGGCCAGCCTAGAGCAGACCCACATTTTTGTTCTTGCACATATTCTTCGAAGACCCATCATAGTCTACGGAGTGAAATACTACAAAAGTTTCCGTGGGGAAACGTTAGGATACACTCGTTTTCAAGGTGAGGCATCGTGTGGCTGTAATACAAAACGGTGTTCTCAACTCAGATCCTGAACTTGTAAAGGGTGTCAGATCTTGGAGAAAATGGAAACGGAGTACTGACACTTGCTGATCAGTATGTTTCTTAATATTTATTGATGTGACTATCAAAGGTGAAGCTTTGGACCCTCGTGTGTGCACTGTAGAGGGTGTAGTAGTCACTTATGTTACAGCTCTGCTAATATTTAATTTAAGCAGAAAGAACTTTTTAAAATTGAGTGGAATTTGTGATAAACTGACCCCGGTGAGCTTCGCTGTTTATTTCTAACATTTATCATGGCGCGAGCCAGCTTTAAACACCTGCAGCAACACCACATGAAACAAGGCCATTAGAATTACTTATACAGACAGGCTATTGTGTATGAGATGCAGAGTGAGCACAGCTGGAGTGCGTGGCTGCCAGAATATCTTGACCTCATTCGGTGTGCTGCACTGATAATTTGAATAAATAAAATGGTCTGTGATGCCTCGCTGTGTATCTGTTCCGTTTAGGGTGCAGCCTGGTTATGATGGCCTGCCTTAATTACGGTAATTATGTGTGTAGACTGAAACCGTAGCTTTTGTGTACATTGCACGCTAAGTGTTTAGTGATTGCTGGTGTGCTTTTGGAGCTGGAAGCTGGCCTGTCAGAAGCCAGAGGGTTGAGGGCGGGTGCACTTCTGAAAAAGCAGAGCATCAGGCTGCACCGCGGAGCTCGTCTCTGCTCACAAAGAACCGGTTGTTTTCAGCGGGCTAAAAAGCAGCCGCCTCTAGCGTCAGGTCAAATCTGAGAGTGCGCTCGGCCTCGGCTGACATTTGCACACAATTTGAGCGAACAGTTGCCGAGCCTGTTCCTGGCCGATGCCTCGAGTGCTGTGGCGTGCAGCACCTTTTGACTAGTTTGTGCGTCTTCAGGTGTGTACCTGCCTCTGTTATGGGAGCAGAGCTTCTGCTGGAAGAGCCCCATTGCCCTGGGCTACACACGGGGTCACTTCTCGGCCCTGGTGGCTATGGAGAACGACGGCTACGACAATCGCGGTGCGGGCGCCAACCTCAATACTGACGACGATGTCACAGTCACTTTCCTGCCATTGGTGGACAGCGAAAGGAAGCTGCTGCATATTCACTTCCTGTCTGCACAAGAGGTAGGAACTGTGGTTGTGCTGTAAAACTGCAGATTTGTTAATTTTTTTTTTTTAAATTTAACTTTAAAAAGCAGGTAATTTTGAGAAGTGTATTTTGGTATTACTGTAAATATTTTTGAACTTTACTGCTTTTTTTGGGGGGCGGGGGGTGGAACTGACAGAGGAGGCGGAGCTGGAGGTGGCAGAGGAGACAAAGGTCCTAATTTTTATTTTCTTATTGGGAGTGACCAGGATGGACAAGATTAAGATTTAGTACATCACGGGGACAGCTTAGGTATAGTGGTTTGGAGATGTGCAGAGGAGGGATGGTGTTTGATTTGAGCTACTGGGAAGGAGGATTCATGGATGTAGTGAAGGAGGATAAAAAGAGGGGTGGCATGAAAGACGAGGATGCTAGGGATAGTGTGATTATGGAGGCGGCTGATCCACTGTAGCGGCTAATGAAGAATATTAGAAAGCCTAGCAGGGTTATGCCAGCTCAATTTCCAAAAAGAACTGTGCTGACTGCATTTAAAGCCCAGTCTACAAGGCTAGGTTAAAATATTATGTGTAGGTGGGATGTTGGGATGTGAAGAAACAGCAGTTGGATCAATTACCCAGTGTATTTTGACTTGTAGACAAGCTGGTTTCACCATGTGACCATGTAATAATCTAGCGCACTACCAGATGTTATAAGCCTTTCACTTGTACCATTTCTGAGTCACAGTACTTAAAACTGCATTAATCTTAAAATATGAAAAATCTACCAGTTGTATTTAATACTTGTTGCATTTCATCAAAACTGAATCTACAGTTTGGATGGAGCGGCCTTTGTAATAAAAATTCCAGTTTTGGTAGCAGTGCCTCGTGAAACGACTAACAATCTTTAGCATTAGTTTCAGTGATTTTGGCTGTAGACCAGTTTTAGCTTTGTTTTTTGCAAATTGATGCAGGAAAGCTTTTAACATGTGCTATTGTGAGGTGAAAGCGTGTTTCTGAACATTACTAATAGCATGTTTTGTGTGTGACTTCAGATGGGCAACGAGGAGCAGCAGGAAAAGCTGCTGAGGGAATGGCTGGACTGCTGCGTGACAGAAGGAGGCATGCTGGCTGCCATGCAGAAGAGCTCTCGCCGCCGTAACCACCCCTTGGTCACCCAGATGGTGGAGAAGTGGTTGGACAGATACCGCCAGATCCACCCCTGTGCCTCTCTCTCCGATGGCGAGGAAGAGGACGATGAAGATGAGTGAGTGAAGGGGAAGTAGAGAAGAGAGAAAAGAGCTCTTAAATCTGTGGAATGGACATTATAGGGTCTGGGAGAGACTACCTTGCTATCTACATTTCCCCTTCCCCTCCCTCGTTTCTCCAAAAATGTAAATCTTTAACTTGTAATAATGCATGTGTTCTGTGAGCTCTGTGGTAGAGAAGATACCAGCACCATCAAACAGAATCCTGATTACTGCTCCCATGAACGCAAGTCCACTTGGTTTGCCTCCCTATAGTCCTTACCGGTTATCTTGATGCTTCCTGTCAAGGTAATTATCTCACCGTGAGAGAAGTAATAGCTCATATAGGAAAAATATACTGTATTTAAGGAAATCCTGAAGCTGCACTAGATGGCAAAGTTCATTTATACAGAATTGCCTGACAGAAATTTTTGCTTCAAACTGAGAGGATGATAATCCTTTTTGTGTGTGTGTGTGTGTATGTTTAAGGTTTACAGAGCACTTGTTTTCCTGATTGCTGATCCCCTCTACAAAGCCCCATTTGATGTTGAATTTATTTATTTGTTCAGAAGAGTTGGCACGCGGAGGCGATACCCTTTGTTCTGCCCCGTTTTATCTGTTTTTTTTGGTTGCTTTTTTTTTTTTTTGGATCTTTTCAGTTGAAGTATTGAAGTATTTTATTTTGCACAGATTATACATAAATTCTGTGAGGGGGGGGGACATACAGGCTTACTGACATTTCTATGTGTGACACAGTTTGTGTTTGAGTGGGTGGTGGTGATGATGCTGGTGGGGGAAAGAAAACCAAACGCCCCGCCTCTTTCAGTGGACAGCGTTAATATTAAATTTGACTCACTTGCACCTACTTACTTACTTGCATTGTTCATTAATTCCCACCGTTAAATTTGTTGTTTGAATTGGTGACGCCACACACGCACGATTGCTTTTCCTTCCTGTTATAGCTGAAGTCACTGGGTGATGGTGGATCGGGAATGTTTGATCGCACACAAGGACACAGCCAATAATGTTCACATTGTGCACCCACATCATCTAAATATAAGTAGGATCACTGCAGTATGGAGTTCTCTATAGTGCAAATCACGGTTAGTTTTAGAAGCATGTCATAAACTGTATATAAAAGATGGCTTTAGCCTCGGTACCATCACTTATTGGTTAGTAAAGTTATGTTGTAAAGGCTCAAATTGAATATTTACATCTTGGCCATCATGGTGCTTGATAGTGGGGCTAATTTGGCCAAGAAAATTACACATTCAGGACAAGATGGGCCCCACATCTTAGCTTTATCATCATTTTTAACTCAGACGTGGGCCGTAATTTGCAACGTGCAAAACAACAGTTTAGACAAAATTAAATACAAATTTTTATTAAAGTTTAAATTTCTGAATAAGACTTTTAATATTAATTAACCTGCAGGGTTCTTTTTGTAGCCAAAGAGTTTCCCCCTGCTGGCAATATGAAGAACTGCAGGTTTAAGGCACTTTTCACTTATGTTCCATACATTCATCTTTTATATACAGTCTGTTATTTTACCCCCTCAGCAGGATTTTGTTTAAAACTTACAGAATTACTAGATCAAGACAGGTTTATAAAAACAGACCTTTCCCCCCCCCTCCCCTTTAAATTAATTGTTCTGGGACTAAACAATGTGAGATTGTTTTTGTTTTTCCATTCAATAAGAAGTTATTTCTTGTAGCCCCAAATACTGGATTTCATTCTATTTCAGTATTGTCTTCATCCCCCCCCACCACCACCAAGTGTTGGGGCTTTACACTTGTGATAAAGCCCTGATATTGTGATTTTTATTTTATTTTATTTTTTTCATAATTATGAAATATACACTTGCTGATCACTTTATGAAGTACACCATGCTAATACCGTGTGGACTCTCTTTTTTTGTCTTCAGAATGACCTTCATTTTTCATAGCATACAATTAAAATTGTATTAGAAACAGTGCTCTGAGATTTTGATCATATTGACATAATAGCATCACACAGTTGCTGCAGATTTGTTGGCTGCACGTTCATGCTAATCCATGATGTGACTCTCCCGTTCTACCACATCTGAAAAGGTGCGCAGTGAGATCTGGTGACAAGCACAGCAGATTGTCACATTGAGAAACAAGTCTGAGAAGACTTGAGCTTTGTGATATAGTGTTATCCTGCTGGAAGCGGCCATCAGAAGATGGGTATACTGTGGTCACAAAGGGATTGAGATGGTCAGCAGCATTACTCAATAATAAATTGGTACCAACAGGATCAAAAAGTACCAAGAAAATATCCCATCACTCCATCACTGATACAAGGAACGATGGATCCATGCTAGGAATTTGGTGTTATCATCTAAATGTTGCAGCAGAAATCAAGACATGCAAACCAGGCAACATTTTTCCAGTCTTCTTCTTCTGTTGTCCAATTTGACAAATCTTCAAATTGTAGCTTCAGCTTCCTGTTCTTATCAGACAGACACAGCACGCATGTGATCTTCTGCTGTTGTACGCCACCTGCTTCAAGGTTCGATGCGTTGCGCTTTCAGAGATGCTCTCCTGCATGCTCCGTGCACGATTAATGCACTTTCACCCAGAGAAGTGCCACTCACCTTTCTTCTCTACTGTACGGGGAAATTCCCAGTAGATCAGTAGTTACTGATACTTACTAAAATCACCTTTCTTCTGCATTCTGCTGGGCCTTTGAAGGCCAATCTTGACTGTACATGGCTAAATGTGATTATTTTCTTGCTGTGACATTTGCTGAGTTAAACAGGTGTACCTAATGAAGCGGCCAGTGCATGTACATGACAAGGGAGTAAACTTGTTTTACATGAAAATCAAGAAGTCAGTACAGACGGCTGGTTCTCAGAATCGTATCTTTCTTATCTTTTTTTTTTTCTCTTTCTTTTTTTTTTATTTGAACTGCACTGAATGCTAAATGTTCACCTTGTACAAGAAACAAATACAAATACTCACACTAAAAACAAAAACATACTGCTGGCTGCCTCTTCTGCTATTGTTGGGACACTAAATAAGAGTTTCAGCTATTGCTCTTACAGAGTACAGGATGCCCCAAAGAACCTGGCCTTCATTAGAACAAAGGAAATATTAAGGAGCAGGTAGAGCGGGGGGATCACATAGGACTATGGTTATAGGAACATTTAACTAGGCAATACGAATCTAACAGGACTCCTCAAAACTCTTTAACACCAAAAAAATGTGTGAATGTGTCCTTTTTATAAAAATACCACGATGGAGAGGATGATGGAGAGAAATATTCAATATTCAGACGAACCAGATCAGGCTTTGTTTTCTTTTTTCCTTTTATAGACAATTATTTTGCGGGGGGGAGGGGCGGGAGGAGAAACAATATCTGCAAAAAAAAAGTGTTATTCCTGAGTCATTAAGAAACCATGCTGAATTTAACCCTTTCCTGTCTTCAGTGTGAAATGTGCTCACAGAAGGGACTGGGTCACCATGTCTAACAAGACTGCCATTATGATTAGTTAGCCATCAGATGCTTCTCTGGAGAGAACTGGATGCATCGCTGAGCTTTTAGGAACTAAAAGTACAAAATAACTTCTTTTCAAAAGCTTCAGCTGCAATTACGTGTTTAATGAATGGCTTTACGTTAATCACCAACTGCTTTAAAAAGTAGTAAGTTGGAGACGCTTAAAACTCAAAAATTCTCACACTGTGTACAAGTGCCCTCTAGTGGTGAAAAGCTGGAACTCCAGCTGTGACAGGTGTCAAATGTACCACTGCCAGGAAAGGGTTAAAGCCCACTTTTGATTACTATAATTGATGAACAATCTTTTTCTTTAATTTGATAAATATATATAAGCTGATAATCCATTTTTTAGTCATTCACACTGATGATAAAAAGAAAAAAACAATATTAATAATAATTCTCTTCTGAGGCATAATTGGGGGCCTAAATAACACACACTTGTTACATAATGAGGATTGGAGCTGGGTGAAGAAGAGGCGGAGAAGATTAGGAGCGCTGTCAGGGGTCATACGATCCAGTAACGTATGATGCCAAAGGTTTTTCTTTTTTTTTTTTTTTTCTCTTGTTCAGTTGGTGTGTTTAGAAGTGGGCTTACATTTCCCATGAGCTCTGAGGTGGGTGGTACAGTGGGGGCAGCTGAACAGAGTCTCATCGGGTAATCCCGGAGCACTAAAAACACTGGACTCTGTGTCCACAATCATAGGCATGTCCCAAAGAAAGACAAAAATACATCATCATCAAAGAGTAAAGTCGGTAACTGAACCCAAAGAGACAGAGAGTAAAAACTAAAAGGGTTAAAAGTACAAATTTCCCGGAACACTTCTTTTGTTCCCAGTTGCTGGCTGGATTTTTAGCAGGCAGCCGCTTGTGTCGTTTCACTGTCTCTTGGTCCCAGTTGGTCAGTTGCTTTGATTGGTTGTTTCTGAGTGTCAACAGGCCGGATGAGATGCTGCCGTATGTATCCTTTCTGCTGCTATTGCTCGGTGAGGTGCTCTCTAGTGTCGCCGTGTTTAGAGGGCTGGTTGGGCGATGGGGCCTGGGAGGGGTGTGTACCAGAGGGCAAGGTGTGGGCGATGGGCACCCCACCAGGCACCATGCCCTCTAAAGCCCCTGGGATGCCGCCCGGAGCCACTCCAACCACACCTGGCGGGTATCTGGGGAGGGAAAAGGTCAGAGGTTAGTGGTGCCGACACGAGCCTAACCCCCACGTACAACCGTGAAAGACAGGATTCTGTGCAAAGACCTCATCTAGTGAAACTGCTGCTTCTTTTCCACCTTTTCAGGAACGTGTTTAAGAGTTACTTAGCTTTCAGGCTGAATTTTCAGATTCAGAAAGGTCCAAATTAATGTGAATAAAATTGGAATTTCTTGTCGTTTTAATATGTCCAGAAAAATATGCAGCCAGATTAGACTAAACATGAAACAGGTGCAAGATGGGGAAAGAGAGGGAGACTCAACAGATGGCCAGACAAAAAGAGTTTTTGCTGTTTACTAACTTTTTACACATTAAAACAATTTAAAAAAGACATTAATTACTTCTCTAAGATCAGAACCAGGTTGCGGAAGCTACCAGGCTTTAATTTCATAAAGCTAGAAGCAATGAGGGAGCGGAGGTAGAGAAGAATCCATTAAACTTTGGCGTACATCTGGATCACATTCCTTAAAACAGGACGTGGGCATTGGTGGAGCATGAACTCTCCAGGCGATCTTCCTGTTTATAGGGATTACATTAATCAACATACTTTGGAAAGTATTTCTTGCCTTGCTTATTGATTTGTTTCTTCAGCTTAGATTAAATATGAAACTGTTTCAGTTTCATTATGGTAATTAAAATAAAAAGGCAAGATACTGTTTGGTCTATAAATGCACATAATCTGCTCATAGCTCGTAAAGTTTTAGTGCCTAATTTAAAGATGATTGGGTCATGATTTGATATAAAAAGGAGAAAACACAATCCTCTCATGAAAGAAGCAGCACATGTTCTATTTATCAATGAGCCACATATTTTTCTTTCCCATCAATTTTCTTTTATTGTTTTAAAAAAAATGCAGTTATGCAGTTATCTTAATACTTCCTGAAACACAGACTTCCTGAGACTGTTTGGTGGAAAAGAGCTAATATGTCACATTAGTTAGGGGGGGAAATGGGTGTGGAAATCACAGTAAAATCCATCAACCAGAGAAGGAGAAAATAGCTGGAAAGAACATTCCCAAATACCTATAAGAAGGAAACCACGAAGCATGACTCCATCCATGGAACTGCACCTCAGTGGTTTCATGTCATGCTTTCTGTGACACTCAAAAACCCACATTCACTGCTACCCATCTCTACTCTGTGTTCATTCAAACAGGTAAGTGCTGAAGGGGAACTACAGGAGGGACACACATCAGGTGAGCTCAGGAGGTGAGAGGGTCTTATATCCAGGACCTCCAACCGGAGGCTGTTGGCCCCAGATGATCGTATTTACCTGGTCCTGATCTAGGCATTAATTTTGTCTTGGGGGATGCCGGTTGTTACGCCTGGAAGAGTTTGGTTCACTTGGCTGCGTGAAAGAAGCACATGGAGGTGGAAATGCTGAGATCAAGAATGGCGAAGAGTGGGACAATGTGGACAGAATTTATTTCTGCTGCTAAGGGGAAGCGTTAGCGGATGAGATGCTAGGCTCTACAGGAGTGGTGAGCTAACCTATAAAAACCACCGATCTATCAAGACATCTTTTACATCTGTATAAAGGCGGAGCAAACGAAGGAAATTGCTCTAGTTTATGATACTTTAGTGTAGCTCACAGGTGATAAAACTGTTGTTCTTAAAATGAAAATAATGGCTGTATTTTCAGTCCTTACCTGTAGGCAGCGCCATTATGCTCAGGGTGAACGCCTGGCTGATCCATGACCGCCCACGGTGCCGTAGTGACAAAGAACTCCTTGTTGACGCAGTTTCGTAGGCTGTCAGGGATACGGCCTGTCACGAGACACGCGTTCAGCTTAAAAGAGCTGCATAAATCTAACACACTCGAAGGCTACGACTTGTTACAGGGCATGAGCGGCCAGGCTATGCAAAGTGTTAATGAGTTCAGACTGACAAACATATCAGGCTTAGATACACAAATGCAAATTAGGACCATTTAACAATCAGTTTTTTAAATTCTTTTTTTTGGCCAGGGTGGCGGCAAGGCCAGCCCCCGAGAGCCACTCTGTGTCGTGAAGCTAAGGATAACATCAATTAAGAGGTCCAGATCTAATAAAGGCTGCCGAGGGTCTATTGAAGTGGAAATGTGACATCTGGGAAAGAAAAGACGTGCAACAGGTCACGCGGGAGACCGCACCGAGGCACGGGCCTCCATAATGAAGCCGTGGATGTTTAGTTTCGATGGATGTTGGACAACAAAATTGAAACGCGGCGGCTTACCGGTGATGGCTCTTCGGATCTCGGTAGCTGCGGCCTCCCTCATTTCCAGTGAGGCCTGCTCGCTGTACCAGGCTGTGTGTGGCGTGCAGATCAGGTTTGGAGCATCTTTCAGTGGGCCCTGAGCAAAACTACAGCACACAGTCAAATTAATACAGTATGCACATTTTATCCAACAAGCACATGATGACAGAATTATATTAAAACAAACATCAATAACAGGCTGTACCGGATTTTGTGGAGGGCTTTACTAATTAACTTATAAAGAAATACAAACGTAGAATTAATTATTTTTATTTTGAGGCCAATGACAAAACATATTCTTGTATATCAAAACCATCTGATACTGTAACTATTTCTTTTCCTTTAAAAACTATTTGTGTACAGTTTACATGACAGTTGTCTGGAAATATGGCCAGTGGGGTAAAATGTCAGATCCTGTTATTCACAGATGCCACAATCTTCTTCCTGCTGCTTTGATACTTCCTTTCTGTCAGCCTCTTTCCTCTCAGGAGACTCACAAAAACAGATCAGCATCAACTCCCTCCTCCCCCTCCATCATCCTTGTAACACCTAGCCTGGTTCTCTGCGTGTAAGCTTTGCAACGCGTCAGCAGCGTCCTGAAATCGGTGTCATGCCGCGTGGGACGGAGGTCCAAAGTTATGAAACGCTCCCCCGTTGACATGCTGGGTTAGCGGAGCATGAGTTCCAGATTCATCGGGTTCAGTTTCAGCCTTCTCGAGCAGCCACTCAGCTGAGCAGCTGTCCAGAAATAATCAGCCTCCAAACTCTCTGACTGCCCCCGACGCGTGAACAACACAACACCAGTTACCCGCTGAGACGGAAAACATGGATCTTAGGATGGTGGAGAAGTGGGACGCGTACCAAGCTGTTTGCCTTCTGATGAAAGCAGTTCATAGCTCAAAGCTAAAACACGGTGTCAAATCATAAGGGGAACAGGTGAGCTTTGGGGAATAAATATGAAATTACCTTATTTACAATTAGTTCAGACTGGTTACCCAGTGTCACCAGTATAGTTTAAGTTTAGAGCAGGGATTTTGATGGTGTAAAACAGCAGTTTTTAAACAGTGTACTATGAATTTAGTATTCATGATGAAGCTGTTACCAGATTTTCCAATTATTCATATCACCAGTACTTAACTGAATTCATTTGTTTATAATTGACAACAAAAGCAACAAGTGTCAAGATGTCATTTGAATAGTTATTAAATCAATTCAGCAGTACTTGTAACTCATTCATTCATTTGCCAAAATGAAGAAATTATAGATTTATTGATTATACTTCAAATTAAGCTGTACACTTTCACTCTTAATTAGCTGATTGCATGTTATGACACACTTACTGATGCCTTTTCACCAAGTTTTGGCCTTTCACCACTTTGCCTCACGAATAAAGCATAAGGAAAAATGTCCAAGAAGGTCTGTTTTAATAATCCTGTATAAATATGGTCTTTTCTTGGGTTATCGTTGTGTTTGGATACCAAAAAATGGAGATTATTCACCTCTTTTTGCACCTCTATTCAAACTCAAGCATACACCTGTACCTTTAAATGTTTTTAACTTGCTCTGACAAGAATAAATCCAGCTCTCCATCTCCTCAATTCTATTACACACAGGGCCCTGAAGGATCCTTTTAGAAGCACATGATTTCTCTTTTATCTCATTATAACTATATCTGCCATTGTTCCTGCCTGTCTGTCTTATCTCTTAAAGGTTTTCTGTGTCTTTGTCTTTCCCTTCCTACACACCCATCACTTTGCTTGCCTATATCTGTCCAGGATTTGGCACATGTGTGCATTTACCTGAAGGGCTCGGTCTCATGGACGTCTAAGGCAGCTCCGCGTATCCTTCCCTCCTTTAACGCCTGGGCCAGAGCTTTCTCATCCACCAGACCTCCCCGTGCAGTATTGACCAAGAATGCACCCTGACGCATCTGTAGTGCAAAAGGCATGCAAACACAAACAAGTCAACACTAGGCACAGATGAAGCCAGCTTTTTTACAGCTCATGTAGGGACTTTTGTGTGTATGCCAGCCTGGCAGGCAAATGAATGTGTTTGATCTAAAAGAGAGCATCAATCTGGATTATATGTCTTAAGACATATTAAACAGGACAAAAATTGAGAAGAAGGAATAAAATGGTGACATCTCTGCTTCACCTGACACCTGAAAGATCTAGGAAACAGAAAGGCAACTGGGACAAATGCTGTCAGATGTGGGATATAGAGCAGGCTTTGTTCAAACCAAGGAGATGAAATGAAGGACGAGGGATGAGCTGAAAGATGAAGTAGCACCGCCACCCCTTGCTGCTTACCGGGGGGAGAAAATAAGGCACAACAAAAAGTGTATGAGGGAGGAAGAAGAAAAAAATCAAATGAATATGCTCAGAAGAAAGTAATCCCTTAATGTTGACAAAAGCTGAAATCCAGGGGCATGAAAAGCCTTTACGCTGGCAGGCAGTCTTTTATTAGGCCTTGGTGGTTTTGACACACAGAAAATACACAAACATGCACACACACGTTTCCACTTTAAACGCTAAGAGCCACTGCCAAATTCTGGGTGAGGAAATACAGAAAAGTGTTCTTTCATTGCAGCACTTAAGAGGCAGCTGAGAATCTTGTGCTTTGGAAAAGACACAGAGTTAACTGGGTTAGGCTATTACCCTACACCCACTCCTCTTCATCTCCTCACATACTGTAACTCAGGAAGAATGGAGCGCGAGGGACAAGACAAAGAGAGAGAGAGAGTGTGTCACAGTGCGGGGTGATATTGACAGAAGGAAGATGCGTCCCCAGCTTGTGCAGTTCCTCAGCTGCCCTGCAGGTGTCACCCCAGGCAGTGCCTCAGAGTGCAGCTATTGACTCAGAGAGCAGCACTTTCCCCTCACACTGTGCAGCCTAGTCGATATATTTGCTGTAGCCGTGGGCTGGCACTAATTGCATTTGACAGAGCAAAGGAATGAATTTGTGTCCAGCTTTGGTGGAGCTTAAGATAAAGAGCAGGGAATGTACAGGCAGGAAGGGTGCTGCTGTTTCCAGTCCTTTTTTTCTTCTTCCTGCTTTCTCTTTCTGCCAGATATAATGCTCTTTAGGACAGACACTAGGCTGACAGAGTAATAATATACCAGCATCTCGACTTGTCTACCTGCTAGATAGCACCGCATTAAGCCCACATCAGGTCACAGCTGTTCAATGGGATGTTCAGCTCTGTCTGGGTGACACGGGTGCGGGCGACGCGTGTCTGTGTTTGTTTTGAGTAATGCACCTGTTTGATGGTGAAGTCGTTGATGAGGTGATGGTTGTGTTCGTTCAGGTTGCAGTGCAGGGAGACGCAGTCGCTCTGGTAGAGCAGGTCCTGCAGGGTGTACACGCGCTGGACACCCAGCGAGCGCTCCAGGCCGTCCTGGAGATAGGGGTCGTAGAAGATGACGTTGAAGCCGAAAACCTTGGCTCGCACTGCAACCGCCTGGCCCGAACGACCTGGGGACACAAACAAAGAGTTTATAAAGTTTGTCAACGTGCTCAAAGACACAGAGGGATTTCTCGTACGTTTACAGAGCGTGTCTTCTCCAGAAAAAGCCAGGCAAGTTCAAAAGTTGCACTGTTAAATACCAGTTCACTGATCATTTACATGTCTTGTTAACTATTAACTCTTTAAGTAGTCTTCCGAAATAGTTCTCCAGGCTTCTTAAAGGACATTCAAAGCTCTTCTTTGGATGTTGGCTGCCTTTTGTTCTGTTCGCTGTCAAAATAATCCCACACTGCTTCAGTAATGTTGAGGTCCGACCGCTCCAGGTATGCTTTTACTGAATTGGCAGTGTGTTTCGGGATCACTGTCATGTCACAAAATTAAACTGCTCAGATGCCTTCCAGATGGTATTGCATAGTAGCCAAAATTTGACGGTACATTTCTGTGTTCATAATACCATCAATTTTGACAAGATCCCCAACACCACTGGTTCATCTTGGTTCATCATACCATAAGACCTGTTTCCAGTTCTTGTGTAATTTGTCATATCTCAGCCTTTTCTGTTTCCCTTGCTTAAGTCTTCTTGACAACCACCCCTTCCATTGAGACCATCCCAAAAGGTTGATTCTGATCATCTGGATGTAGCGTTTTCAGTGGGTGAGTGCACGATGACTGAAACTAGCACCACTGAACAATGGGCTGGGAGGTCAGTTGTTGATCAATGGTCATGAGAATTTGCACATTAATGATCAAGGAACTGACCTCCCAGCCCATCGTTCATTCAGTGATGTTAGTTTCAGTCATTGTGCAATGCACTGTTTATAAGGTTGGGGAAACCTGCAGTCAGCTGAGACTGAAGAAGTCACTTGGATGAGTGACAAAATGTTTCTCCCACTAAAAACACTACATCCAGATTGGGATTTACTTACTTGGATGATTGAGCATGCATCAAGACGTATTAGACCATCTACTAGTTTGTAGACATGTATCAAAAACATGTAGGACGTAGAATTGCGTCCGCAGTGTTTTCTATCTAACATTCACACTCCAGTGAACTCATTGGGTTCAGTATCTTGCACTCACAATATCATCATGCAGAGGAGGACCAGGGATTGAACCACGAATCTTCCAATTAGTATGGGAACTCCACAACCTTCTAAGCCACAGCCATCCACCACTCTAACCCTTTGAAGACACACTGCAAACAATGCAGAGATATAAGTTTTTGTCTTATAGCTCTTCAGAAACCACCTTGCCAATCCAAAAAAAGGGGGGAATAGGTTTTATTATTGTGACAGAATACTATTGACAAACTGCCTAAAGATACAATTTAAAATTAGTTCTTTGCTAAATTGAGCACTGGCTCATCCCCTGATTTGAGTGCTTTTTTATGCTTGAACGATAAAAAAAAGAGAAAATAATCAAGTACAAGTTCTGACCTGAAAATGAGCAAAAAAAGAAGCCAATGTCTAAAAAAAACCTTCACAAAAAATAAACCTTTCATTCTTCTAATAGTAACAGGATGTCACTTGAACATCTTTCATGTTGCAACAGCCTTTTCATGTCGGCTTTATTATATTAAAGATGTGAAAAAGGCTACTTTTAATATCACTAAGGGAAAAAAGGCTTACGATGAAGACAAGGAGCTATGATGAAAAAATTAAAAAACAACAAGAACAAACAAACAAAGGGCCTCATTCACCGTGTGTGCTTTTTAATTTGTGCACAAAATAAGCACTCACACAAAAGTCAGGTTTGTGGATCGTGCAAAAGCAGCCGATTTTACTCTTACTATCGTGTGCACGTTAGAGAATCACTGTAAAATCAGCAGGTGCACGCACGTTACTTGCAGTCAGCATACTTCCGTGGCCCCATTTTTCTCTATATAAGGAAACGTGTTTGCCTAGAGGCGGATCACAGAGAAAGCTGTGAAGCTGTTCTAAGAGAAAAAAGGTCACTTAAGCAAAAAAAAAAGTTGTGGACTGAGGAAACATAATGTCTAAGGTGGAAACTGGAAAGACACACCAAGAGACTCGGGTTGCAATCACTGAAGCGGTAAATACTGAATCCTTGACGCACAGACCGTGACTTAGATATAAGAAAAAAGCTTAAGATACAAGTTTATGGAAAAAGGAATAACAGACCAGATTATACAAACATCCGTAAGTAGGACATTGTTGAAACAGTGGCGAGGTGACGGCGATGACGTCCAGCAAGGATGAAAGGCAACGGATTTGTGTTTATTTTATGTAATTGGCCACTGCCTTAATAAATTAAAGGTTTTTTAAGTGTTTTAAGTCAGTTTTAACCTGCTAAGCATTTAGTTAAAACATGTATGTTTATATTTTTTAAGTCTGAGGCAGCTCTACGTTCGTTTGCCGTGCACCAACCACTTCAGGCACGAAAACACGGATGGATCCCGGATTTGTGAGTAAAACATTTGTTTGTGCTGATTAGGCACACGTTTGTGCAAACACACTGTTTGTGAATGAGGCCCAATGTGAGGTGAAGTTGTGAGACAGTGAATCAGAAACTGAATGTGCAGCATTCGAGCCTCTCCCTCTGTCTCTCACAGCCATTTGTTGTGTAGGATGCGAGTCTCCACTCTGTTGGCTGGAGACGCCAGTTTCTGCTCTGCAGCAGCAGCTGAGAGAGAGAGAGGGACAGAGTAATGGAGAGGTGGATGTTGCTGCTCGTAAAAAGGATCGATAAGGTCCTTTACACTCTCAAGGTCCCCTCTTTGTGATCGAGCATTATATCCTGCTCTTACACTCCACAGCTGAAGAGAATCACTCCTTCTCTTCTTCTCCTTCAATGTCAGCCGATAAGAGACGTGCAATGCTAAAGACCCAGATATAGCTGCAGCTATCGCACAATAAAACTACAAATTTTGCGATGATCACAGTTGCGCACTTTACTTTTCTTCGAGTGATTCATCTGTCCATTTCTTTCTGCTAACGTTACTTTTCCTAATTTTCACAGGCCACGTTTGACACAACACAGAACGTGGGTGTGAGCTGCTGTAAGTGCAAGCTAAAAAAGCGATGCAGACAGCAGCAGTAAAGGAATCAATTTTTTAAAAAAGATTTTTCTTGTCAGTTTGAAACAGACCAGGTCATCCTGCAGCTGCAGTACGATGTGATTTACTAAACCTTTTGGAGCAGCTGTGGAAAGTTGGATCATCACTTCTTCTGCAATGATTTCTTCTGCCTCTCTGATTGTTGGAAAATGTCTGCAAAGAACTGGGTTTAAAGAGAAACTAGATCTACACAATCTTGATTTACAATGAGATCAGTTAACAGCTGAAGTTTTTGGCATCTAAAAATACCTCTAACTTTGTTGCACTGGGAAAAAAAGAATTTGTATTTTTTTTGTGCGGATTTTTCCTTTAATATGTCAGCTCCTCTGTCTTCTCTATTTCTAAGCCTCGCCCTCCCATCCCACACTTATCAATGCCACATGCAACGAAAACCAGGGGGTCTGCCACCCACTCAGGTGGATCTGAACATTTTGATCTCTGTCATTTCACTCTCGACTCGGCAGCAGATGTTTGCTTTGCATTGCAAATTTTTCTGCTGACAAAGGTTTCAGATTCTGCAGTAAAACACGAGGCTGAAGCACCAATTCTTGAAATCAGCCCTGTCTCACCCAACAGTGAAGAGGCAAACATGGTGGCAATTGGCCAAGAGGTCAACGTTTTTAAAAAAAAAACATTGTTTCAAAAGTCCTTGTGCACAGCAGGCAGATTATCTCTACTGTTTTTACAAAAGGAACCAGGCGACATCACAATATCACTGAAGATATTTTCCATTTGCTGCAAAGAGATGCAACAATTGCAAAATCCAATAACGTGCAATACGGTTATTTGTTCTCTTTAGCTTTCAAATACTTGTCAGTTGTGTCTGTGTGCCATTCGGCGCAGGCGGGTAGTGCGCAATCGTCTGAAAACAGCTGCCTGCTTCATGTGGAGATGATACTGATCATAGTGGTGAGAGTGAACTAAACCTAATCACTCAAATAAACTGGTTTGAGTGATTAGACTTTTCACTGTGAGCAACTTCAAGATGGATGTAATGGGATTCTGTTAATTAAAAATTTAAGTGAGTACAGTTAGCATAGAAAAATGTGCAATTACCAGAGGCTGTCAAAAAGTCCTTATTTACCTTGCGATTGTGTCTCTTAAAACATGGAAGCATAACTTTGGCGGTTGGATATTCAGTTTTTATGTTTCCTTGACACATAATCGGCTAATGTTGCAGAAATATGTGGGAAGGATTAGACTTGGGTAATGAATTCCAACATTTTTTCATCGGTCCTCATCTGCATCTGCTGCAGTATCAACACTGTCTTTGCATGGCTAATTTGATTTGACCAACTGGAAATGCTAAATATGCAAGTGGAATTTTCTTTGTTTTGAATTTGCTTTGAGACGTTTCAAGAGAAAGTAATTATACTTGTCTGCAATCACTTTTAGTATAAGATGCAACATTTAAAAATATCATTTTTAGGGGAATATAATGTGTTAAAAATGTTGTTTTGCATTTAGTAACTAAAATGGTATTTCAAGCTTATCACACTCAACCCTGATGATCATTTAAGCCTTCATTCATATAAAAATGCTGATTAAAGGTATCTTAGATGTCTCTTCCCAGACTAACATATTCCCCAAATTCCAAAGTTGAAAATGAGTTTTTTATCAGATCAAATTTAGTTGATAGGATTATCCTGGATATTTACTGGAGGTAGATAGGCAGACCACAGCTACTTGGTTAAATTTACATATGAGAAATAACAGAATAATTCACAACTAAAAGGCTTGAACTTATTTTTGAGAAGAAGATCAAAAGGTTGGTTGTTTGGTACTTCAAGTCCTCGAGTCTACTGTCACCCCAGAGCTAGAGGGTTTTTTTTTTCAGTCTGTGTATTTGCCGACAGAGTTGTGCAGCTGGCTGAATATGCAGAGTCCTAGAAACCAACGCCAAGAGGCCTTCGATGTCCCCAACCTCCCACTGACAATGGATATTGTTTTGGAGACAGCTTGAGCCAGAAAGACCAGCAGAGGAGGCTGGAAGTGGGAGGACTGGATGAGGAAGGGAGAGACAGGGGGGGAGAAATCTTCCCTGCCAGGACCCGCTGTTCAGGCACAGTTAGTCCAGGCAGCTGTCTGGGACCTGTAGAGGAGGAAGGAGGTTGTGTGTTTGTGTGTGTGGGGGGGGGGAGGTGTATGTGGACAGAGAGATAAGGTGGCACTCAGGAAAGGCTTGTGAGAAGACAGAGCATCTGTCGGCCCGGTGATGTTGTGACAGGGCAGAGTGACGCACAAACACACACAATCACCACTAAAACAGGTGCAGGGAGGGAATCAAGTCAGAACACACACACAAACACACAGAGGAAGAATCTAGTCTGCCATGAGGCCTGATCATGGCAGGGCAAGATGTCGAGGGACCGTGGTGACAGAGAAGAAGAGTTGAAAACAGAAGAAGAGAGTATAATAGAGATATAATGGTGAGCATTAGAGCAGTGGGATGAGAACAGTGAGGCAGAGAGAGGAAGTCAGCCCGCAGGGAGGCGAAACAGACAACCTTGAGATAATCTGTGGGACGGGCAGAGGGTGAAAAATAACCTTATCAGAGCAGGAAAACAGAAGGCACACTGAGTGGTGAGAGGATATGAAAGCACAAAAGTGGAAGCAACGGAAGGGGGAGTAAATTAAAAAAAAACATGATGAAAATAAGAGGAAAAAGCAAGAGAAGGAGCCAGAAAAAGGCTAAAAGAGGAAAGCGAATAACTGAATATTCACCAAAACCGATGAGACCCAGGGTTTCGCCACGTATGCGGGCGGCACCGGACGCCACCTCCCGGATTTGCTCCACGCTCTGGACTCGCGTGCCCTCCCGCAGAGCCTGGTAGAGCCAGGTGTTCCGCCGGTAAAGGTTGAGGATGTGGCACAAGGTCGAGTCTGCCGTCTCCTCCACAGCTGCCGAGGGAATGTTGCACACGGCAATGCCTAAAGATAGAACAGTAAACACAGACAAGGCAGAAGGGTTGAAAAACACATTAAAGACGTATGTGACACGTGAAATATGAGTACAGAGGGAGATTTTATTGTCCAGGGCGAAAAAACCAACATGGGTCACTATGATTTCTGATATTCATGGTCAGCATCTCAAGGGAGTGTGAAAATGACATCAGAATATGTCGGCTTCATTGGAGCGTGACCTCCAGCACGCATTGCAGCCAAGGATGAAACAGACCGGTGGATTTGGTGTGCCGGATTGATGTTTTTCATGTACCAGTCAGTCTACATTCCAACACTCGCTTACGGTCATGAGATCTGGGTCATGACCAAAAGAGTAAGGTCACGAATAAAAGCAGATGAAAATAGTTTCTTTTGTAGGGTGGCTGGGATCAGTCTTGGAGATAGAGTGAGGACCTTGGACATACAGAACCTGCTAGAGAGATTATACATCTAGCCTAGTCTGGGAATCTCAGGATCCCACAGGAGTAACTGAAACGTATTGCTGGAGATAAGGACGACTAGAATACTCTGCTTAGGCAGCTGCCACCCCTAACCTCACTTTAGACAAGTAGAAGATGATGGATACGTGAAATTCACGTCGTGAATGGATATTATGTACTATAACACAGGTCATATATTATAAAAACTTCAAAGGAAGCTTTTGATCCAAAAGTATATTTAATTATATTTACCCATATAGGGGTGATATCTTCTGTAGAAATAACTGCCTTCTCTAGATTTTAATGGAACTTTTCTCGTGATGCTCAAAGCGTCAACAACAAAAAACCAAACTAAAAAACCAAAAAGCTACTTAGCGGTAATGTTTCTGAAGCCCTCATTCACATACTTTATAGTTTTATGTAGGAACCACCACACAGAAGCTCAGCTCATATAATGTTAACACTTGTCTAGCTGTCACTAGCATTAGCCTCTCATCACAGGTAGACGGATGGCCTTTTCTTGAAACAGTTGGCGAGCATAGTTTAATAAAAGAAAGAGAGAGAACAATACTTCCTACACGAAATGTGTATAAATCTACATATGCTATATTTTGAAAAGCAAAATGTAATTTTTAGCATCACGACTGCCAATTAGGTCACTGTTTTCAAGAGAAAGGCAAATATTTCAACAGTGAAAATCTCCAAAGCATTACAGGCCAGAGGAAAAACATGAAAAGTTGATAATGGTGTGAACTGATCCCTTAATAACTTGGGTTATCTTTAATTAGGTCTATATTTGGGCAACGTAATCAGTATTCCAAACATCACCTGCTAAACGTCAATAATAATATGAAGATACACACGTAAATATGTAAAGTCAAGATCTTATCCAGTGCAGTGTTCATAATTTTGTTCCTTTCAGCCGATATACAGGCCTGACCTTGTGGTATTACCTTGCCGTTTCCTCCAACAACACAGACTACTTTTTTTTCTCTGTTCTAACACTTAAGCACTTCTGCCTGCCCTCATTCTCCTCCTAATGTCCTCATCTCACTCTGTATCTCGGAGTAACAGCGCAGTCGTCTCTAGACAGCAAAAAATAGACCGAGCCTGCTCAATCAATGGCCCCTTTTTTCTTCTCCCCGAGAACAGCCGTCATATCAGCGCCGCCTTCTCCAGGCACGATAGCTTTTGACTCCTGTGTTGCAAGGCAGAGCGCCTTCGGTGAGTGGGTGGCAGTTAGACACAGTATCTCATATTGGCAGGGAAATGGCAGCTTTGTCAACTGTAAGAGCTTTTTGAGCCACCAGCCTGCTGATATAAGCCTGGGTGGTGTTTCAGGGAGAAAACTGAACTCTCCTCTTTCCCCGTGTGTCTTTTACTCTGTCTCTTTGAACATTCTGGCTCACAGCGGGATGTCTGCACTTCATCTGACTATTTATTCAGCCTTTGATACTATTCAGAAAAAATCCATACAGTAAAAACAAGGAAACGGTATACGTGGTATTCGAAGTAGTCCGCTTTAGGGACAACGACTATTAGCTCTATTTCATCGCTGCTTTTCTTTTAGATGGTCAGTCCAATTTTAACGCTGCGATGTGATGAATCTTCCCTTCAAGATTCACCTAAATCTGATTACAGGCACCTGAGGTATCGTTTGTCATTAACAGGCAAACAAACGATCAAACAAGCAAATCAGCAGACCTGCTCCCTCACAAGAAATCGATGCGACGCGGGATAGTCGTATCAAAGGAGCACAAAACACATTAGAGCTTTGCTCAGATGTAGAAAAAGAGGCTGTTACACGAGCACAGATGTGGAGAAGAAAATGATTATGATTTAGTAGCCGCTATTTAAAGAGTTCATACCCAGCTCTCCAGCAGCCTTTATGTCAATGTTGTCGTAGCCGCTGCCGATGCGGATGATGATGCGTAGAGCTTTGAACTTTTCCAGGTCCTCTCTGGTCAGGGTGATGGTGTGGTACATCATGGCACCCACTGCCTCATTAAGCACCTGCAGACACATGTATACACATAAAATTTTGCATGACACAACTGAATGAAATGCTTTTCCCTCCTTAATCTGTGTCTTCCGTTGGCCAGTTTACTCGTTTGCTCATGCAAAACACGGCTATTAAATCCACTTGGGGATACAAGAGCTCATGACAATCACACTGTCGCATTCCTTTCAGAAAGGCGTGTGAAAATCACACGCCTGCCGTGACTTCCGACATTTGTGAACATTATAGATTTCACATCGAGGGGGAACTACAGACATCACATGGCCGCGAGCAACACTGACACATTGTCCATTTAACAGACCTGCACTGGAAGTAGAAACAGTCATTATATTGTTTTGCGGGGGCTCAGTTCTGCACGGTATTCACAATTGCACCAAGAGCGTTTACGGACACAAGATCTGGATAAGTGACTGGATAGAGAGGTACTGATTGCAGGATAAGCCTTATGAATTAAATAGAATAATAGAATTAAAATAGCCCCATTACAAAGAAAGTAACTAATTTACTACCCAGACTGTACCGCTCTGTATTTCAGGCTTCAAAATTTCCCGATTCCTGGGAATGTATCCCGCATTTGCCCTAGTAGCTTGTGTCTCCAAAAGTTGATTCTATTCATCTGCATGTAGCGTTTTCAGTGGGAGAAGATGAACAGAATCAACTTTTGGAGATTTACTTACTTGGATGATTGAGAATGCATCAAGACTAGTAGCTTGTGGTTATTTCTTCCAAATGTTCTTACCTGCTGTACTCATGCATTGAGTAAAATTTTAGGCTGCGCAAACTCCAGCTTAAAGATGCATGTCAGCTAAGTGTAAGTGAAAGTGGTTGTTACTTATTTTAAAGCAGGTAAAGGTCAAAACTAACTGTGCTTTTAAACAACCACATGGTGGCGTTGTTGAATCTACCTACCCAAAGACAATCCATTCAAGTTAAATAAAAAAGAATAAATAAAAACAATCTTAAGATGTACCAAGTGAAACATTTCCCAAAAAAAGTCTGAATTCTGTCACCTTGGACGGGGGGTGGACAATCACTGTGAAATGCTGCTCACGCTGCTCCTCTGCCACTTAACGTGGACAAGGTGACCTGGCCTGTGATGTGGATCTAAACTATTCCCCTTCAGTATCAGCCCCGGCCCCTGTCAGCGCCTAAATAACAGCTCTACATTCACCTCCAGCCAAGCTGCATTAGCTTTCCTGTGATTAGTAGATTAGCTCTGAATTTCCATACTGCTTTTATTAGAGCAGTGTCCTGGACAGGCCTTCCAGATATTAGTTCAAGGTTAAAACACTCCTTACACGCACATGCGCGACCGGCCAAAATGCACACATACATAATTGTCTCCCTCTGCGCTGATCCTGTGTTGTTTTTGAGCTGGGGGAAGGAATCTTCTAGCCTGATTGTAGTTGATGTTAATGGAAACTCTGACCTCAGCTACATCCCCCTCTCCACTGTAACCAAACCCTTATCGCTTTAAGGATCTATCATTTCTTATGACGCCTGGACTTTTCTGACAAGGCACAAAGCCCGTGCTTCACATTTAGCCTGGCTGAGCAAAAGATAGACTGTTTCAAGGGAGTTTTGATTTGGTGATGTGCACACTGTAGTGCACACTCCTAGCTTCTAGGAGGGGGACTTTATGGCAATGAAGTCATCCCGTGAGTGATCCGCAGGGATGTTGTGCTGCTCAAACTGTTGCTTCATAAAACTACAGACTACTTAAAACTTCTTACAACGAAGGTGGCTTAGCATTTTGCAGGACAGCATCACAAAATACTGTGAAATATGTCATAACACAACAAGCTCTGACCCCGCTGGCCATTGTACCTTCAAAATCCACTTTAGCAGTGCATCGATTCCACAAAATCTTTCAATACTTCTAAAACAAATCCGTCCACACGAGATGTGCTGATTTTACAGAAGACTATATGCCAGGTCCAGCCGCTTAGGTCAGAGGGAGGTTACCAGTTTTCCTGGTTGCAGCCTCAGTGCTTATCTAAAGCAATGTGGCTTCTTGCACATTTACCCCAGTCCCCCACCTAAATAGTGAAATAGCAGCAAGAAAGCAAAAAAAGTTATGTCTTCGTGCCAAAGAATAAACAGATGTTAACCAGTATGTCCACTAAACTAGTCTGACACCTGGTTCCTCCAGTATGCACCTTAAACTGTTTTCGTGCAAGAGCCTGAACCTCCTAAATGCCCCCATTCATCCTTGTGTGTGTGTGTAACAGATAAAGCACAGCATTTAATATGTGAATGTGAATGGGTGAAGTACTTTAACAACAGAAAAGTGCTATAAATATCTATATAACCCCATTTAGGGTTTATTAAAGGATTTACTGCTTTGAAAATTTATTGTTTCTTATAAATGGAAAATAGTAAACATTTGCTGATATTGTGAAGACTTTCTATTCACAGTTTAACTAATGACGCGAGACGACAACACGCAATGTATGGCTCCCCCCCCCCCTGCATTTTAGAGATTGAACTGTTAACTGAACACAGTATCATAATTTTTCCATCTATCATCTTTTAGTTACATTAAGAGTCATTAGCTGCAAGCCCCAAGCTTAACACCTCTTTTGGATGATCACAGTCAGGCGGCGCACAAAGTAATAGGCCAATATTGACTCCCTGCCATATGGGCTCTCATCCAACTTTTACAAGCCACATGTGGTTATGAGGCGCGACGACCGTGACAAAGACGAGGGATCAGAGACCTTGGATTATGATGCTGGAGCGCAGGTGCTGCATACAGGATTTGGTCTCACTGAAGTGGTATTGTAACTTGATCTTGATTGGTATTTGCCTGTGTGCTTTATTGTATCCCTATCACTTGAGAAAAAAGAGGATTACCAGGTAGAAGACTTCACATAACCTTAGGCAACTTTCATATTCAATCCTCGGCCAATCTTTTCCATAAGATTTTTTTATTTTTTATTGTTGTCTAGTGTATATGTACGGGAGTGTGGCAGCTGCTGTCCGCCCTGACAACATTGAACTGAAACTCCCAGAGTTATCAACACTGCATCTTCGCATCCATGCTGCAGAAAGCAGAGATTGGACATTTTCAATCTATACCGCCCCTCTGGGTATCTAGACTGCAAGTTATTATTGCAAACTGCTGAATATGCTTGCGAGGTGAACATTACAATCATGTTTTTCCTGATAAGGCAGTGTTAAAACAAACAAAAAGCTACCCACTTTCCCCCCTTCTCCTCACCGCCCAAGGTCTTTGATTGAATTGATCTCTATGCAAATGCTTCTTTTTTAATATGTCCCATTTTCATAAAAACAGCGCGATGGAAGATATAGCAGCCCTCACTCTGTCTGCAGATGAAGAGATAGCACTTGGGTGATACCCATTTCTGTGGCCATATATTGTTTTGTAACCACGGCGCTGCATAAAAAGCAATAAAGAGCCTCTACAAGCCAATGTAATTACACCGCATCCCCGCTGTACGAGATTCTCTATTAGAACAATGGCACTGATATAGGCGTTACAGTCAGTGCTACAAAGTGACATTAAATCATAATGAAGCCACTATATTTTAACTGGCAGGTGTGTATGAGGCCAATATAACGCACTTCACATATCAGCGCTATAGAAAAAGGAAGAGGGAGATATGAGTAACGGGTAAATTCCGTCTCTCCATCAAGGTTCAGCTGCGATGTGGAAGACACTGAAAGTGCGTCTTCCTACCTTCTCGTGGATCTCCTGCGTGGACTGAGCATCACAGAAGGCAACGGTTGCTAAGTCTTTAAGGATGGGCATCTCCACGGTGCAATCACGCCCGTCCAGCAGGGCCACCAACGGGCGGGGATGCATGGGCCCGTTCATGATTTGAGGCCGAATACCTGGAGAGATACATTCAAGAAGAGGAAAGATTATTTTAAACAGAAAAGGTATTAAGAAAGTAGCTTTCAAAATCAGGAAAGATGAAATCCAAATAAAATATAAAATGTAACTATCACTAAATTGCAGTCTTCACTCAGTTAATCAACACTCAGATAACAATCATCTGCTGTGTGTATGCATGTGTGCACTTGTGTGTGCTGATTAGGATGTAGCAGGAAGCAGGGCTTCTCCGAACTAACAAAAGTTGCTCAATAAATCAATGCGCCTACTCAAGACTGGATTAGAAGACGGGCTCACTTGCAGGAATCCTCTGGGTCTGGCTCTCAAACGCACACAGAAACATTTACATACACTGACACAGATAGGTGAATGCAAGCAGACAGAGATTCACACAATCATATGAAGGGGAACAAATTCCCCTGTGTGCATACTGACACGCACACTTTGGTCGTTCTCTTTTACCAGTTAAAAAACGGCAGTGTGAGTGGAACCAGCTGCTGTGGAACAGGGGTGAAAAAAAAGAAGAAGAAAAGAGAAACACTGTGAGGACACCTTTAGAAATGCCTCATAAGAGCAATGCATCATTGAAATGAAGAGCATTGGAGAAAACGCTACAAGCCTGAAACAAACTCGGAAGCGACTCGCAGCTGCACTTCGGCACACTTGACAAAGTGCGTGTCGTAACTCGGGTTTCTGTCGCCGCTCGGCTCTTTCTCCTCTCCTTACTCGCTACTTTTCTCACTTGAAGTAAAATGAGTCAAGAGAAGCCGAACTCCCCAGCGGGATCGACCTTCTCACACATCCCACTGAAGAGGACGTGTCGCGCTTCGAAGACAGACAATTACCAGCCCCTGCTTCATACAATGTTAACAAGTGAGGAGCATCAATATTCATGCTTCCCTCAGATGCTGGCCTGTGGACGGAGAGACTTTAGAAGAAGCAAAACTGCTCCTTGCTAAGAAACAGCATCGCAACACTGCACAGGTCACCATATTCACCCCGACAACAAGATCCCCTGCGGATGTTTCCCTGTGACTTCACGACATCACGTTTCTTATCTAGGTTTGCTGCTAAGATCTGTATCGGGATGCTCATGCATGACCTCACTCTGTGCACGCACTAGTGTATGCATAGCTCTCAAAGTTATCCTGAAGATTACAATGACGCCATGCGATAAGGAGCAGGGTGGAGAAAGGGAAAGGAGAGCAAAGGTGGAGGAGGTCTCATTAGGGCAGTGCTCTTTGGGATTACAGCACACAGCATTGGGACCGATATAGGTGAGATAAGGAGATTTAAGATGAGATGTGTGTGTGCACAAACAAGTTAAAATGCACAGTGAGAAAAACAACAGGTGGGAGGGGAGGAGGGGGGAAGAAAAAGAGGAGCGATTCAGAGAAGAGTGAAATTAAAATGTAAAACAAGGAAGCATAAAAACAGACTAAACACTGCCTGTTAGCTTAAAGAGCTCCCAGGAGACTTATCAGGGGAGAAGGAGGATGAAAGGAGAAGGAGCACATAAACGACAGCAGAGACGCAGAGAAAGCCCAGCTGACAGAAAGCGAGCAGTCCAGCAGTGTAGCCTCTTAGGGCAGGGGGGGAGGATTGTAGCAAAGATGTCGTCTCCGTGCGCCTTCCGCCTGTTGTCATGGTGATCACTTAACAGGCTTTGGCTGCCAGTTTTAATGCACTTTATTTTTGGCACCGCCGGCATCTGCGCCATGAGTTGGGGTCGGAGGCGCAAACGGCCGTATCCACCCCACTCTTGCGGTGCAAAGGGCGGAGGAGATGTTTTCTCCCCTGACATACAGACAGCCGCCTCCTCCCCTCTCCCTCCGCCTCCTCATCTCAAGCCTTCCATCAAACGCCTCCGTTGCTTCCTACCTCCTTATCAGGCTCCCCGTTCAAGACAGCTGACATGACGGTAGGAAAGGTGAGGCTTACCAGCTTGGCTGTCGCATCTGTATGTGACAGCTTGTTGAATATTAATAGAGGCAGCTGGTAAAGACTGGGCAGCAGTGGTCAAAAACATCAACACCAAACTGGCGAGGGTGTGTCAGAAACACTCCACGAATGGTGGTTGATCGATCGAGTGAAACAAATGACTGGATTGTTTGTAATGTCATTGTAAACTGAACACGTCTGGGTTTTGGACTGTTGAAAGTTATGTAAGAGGTCAGTAATAAGTCATTTCCAAATACTTTGGCTTATTTTTCTTCCCAAAAATCACACAAACTCTATTCAAGCTTATTCTATTCAAGATTTTCTTACATGTCCACTAGAGGGCAGAAGAAAACATCTCACAACTATCAATAAAAGTTGTTAACAAATAGTCTATCATAGGTGGCAACATTAGGATTCAGCAGATGTATTTAGTTGCTGATGAGCTTTTATTCTTGCTCAGAGTCAAGGTGCAAATGTGCACTAAAGTAAAAACAATAACCTAAAACAGGCTAAAAACTAAATGCCACTTGTTACTTGTCACTGATTCAGAGATATGAAGAAAAATACTGATTATGGCTTCTCCCTGCTTCATCCTACCAGTGTGTACTTGTATCTAACAATTATTGGCGCACAGTGTGTGTGCACGTTAGAGAAGCTGTAGATGAAGCAGTAGGAGAGAGGAGTGGTTGACAGGCTGTGTGAAACCCTTAGGCAGAAGTTGGATAGGCTGAACTCCATGAATCATCCACCGGGTTCCTCTGACCTTTCAGTCTCTTACTCAGTCTCTTAATCTCCCTCTTGTCGACTTCTTCCTCTGCTACATTTTAAAGTATCGTTGGCACTGTTGTATTTTCGCAGATCTCTCCCTGTATGATAGCATCTTCTGACAGCTCCTCTTTGCTGCCGATGTCTAGCCCTGAGTGACTGTTTGCTCACTGCGCATCTCATTTTCTTTTTCTCCCTTTTCACATAAATTCCTCCCCGACCTCTGCTATCATTCCTCAGCTGTCTTTCAGTAATCACTGCCCCTCCTTTCTCTGTCATTCTTTCACCTCAACTGTCTTTTCCTCCATTTTCTATTCCGACCCTCAATTCCAGTTGGTCTGTCTGTCTATAAGCCGAAGCCCGCATGTCCTCCTGTGTGACAGATTGATTCTTACACTGTTGATTTTGATGGAGAGGATATGATATATTCAGGCAGGGAAAGCAGGGAGGTGACAGGCAACACTCCCTCTGTGTTAAATTGACAGCAAGTACATCAAACCAGTCTCAACCGGAACCGCTGGGTTTGTCAGCTGCACAACACCACAACACCCGTTTCTGATAGGTGATGCGTTCATGACACCTTTCTCACCACCTCTTTTCTCCGTGGTGATACTCGACAGCATCCCTGTGCTCTGTGCATCTATAACAAGTCTGTACCAATCTAGATTAAGTAGAATATAGAATTGTGTGTGTTTAGATGTGTTCATACATCTGACAATTTAAAGCTTCATATTTAAGTCACAATAATGGATGGGGAGTAATAGTCTCGTAACCAGGCAACAACGCCCGGGGCTAGAAAAGGAGGGCAACGCAGAAGTGCCTGAAAGTGTCCACTTCCTCGAGTGTCCACTCGAGGCTGGCTTCAAAAGCGCTAATAAACTCTCGTGTTAAAATAAACATGTTCACAGGCTGTTTCAAAAGACAGTTTTCACGTCAATAGTTAATTTTCTCCTTCGTAACATCCTTGATATGAGGGTTTCTGTTTCGCCATCTTGGTTGCAAAAGATGGATGTGATGAGGAGGGACGGGTCTGGCACCCATTAGCTACCGACGTGGGATTGACAAGATGATAGCCAGTGTGGTTTCATGCCATTTTGAAATGTGACATGAAAAAGATGTTCAAAACAGGAATAATTTTTTACTCAATCTACAGGTATCGCCACCTGGTGGCGGCAGTTTGTAAAGAGTCTCTTTTTACTGCCTGAGTGGTGCCTTACGGGGTATTTTTCATGTAACCTTCTTATTTTTCAGTTAATGTACATTTGAAAGTACATTCAAGAAGTCTGGTCCTGAGAATTCATAATGGGATTTCATCAACCAATGAGGGATGGAATGGAGTGACTATCATTTATATACAAACTATGCAAATAGTCGGGGTTTAAAAAACGTAACATCGATCTAAAGGCTTTTTGGCTTGCAAATTATGGGTGAAAAGGTAGTAAAAATCCCCTCTAAAGTGCCATAAACTAGAATAATTTTGTGCTTTGAAGCCACCAGCAGTTTTCTCAAGATTACGATTTACTGTCAACCTCCAATTTATCTTTTATCTCAGCATGAATTTAACTCTTTGGAACAAGACAATCTCAGTGAGAGGCACTGCAAGCCTTGGAAACAAGCTTTAACCTCCACTGTGACAAGCACTCTCTAAGCTCACTTGTTTTAACAGCTGTGCAACACCTTTTCAGAGGCAACAGGCAGGAGTAAAACAGCATTTTCAGCAGGTCTGCCATGTTCTCTGCAGGTTTACGTCCTGGCGCCTTGGCAAACGCGGCCGCTGGCCACCTGACTGCAAACAGCCAGAGGATTTGAACTGAAGCATGAGCACAGACTTTCATACGGTGCACCAAATCTCAACAAATGTGTTAAGTGAAGGGCAGGGGATTGTGGAGTATTGGAGGTAATGTCAGAGCCGCAGGAGGCAGAGTGCTCTTAATTTCACTCACTCCTCCATTAATTAATCTCCCTCATTTCCTTTCCTCCTAGTTCTTGCGTCCTCTGCTTGCCGCTTAACTGTTGCCAGGCTGCAAATGCATGCGCGTGAGATGTTTAGGGATGAATTAATTTTCTTTGAGGGGGGCAGCTGCTGTTGTGGGTTTACCTGCCAAAGGAAATAATGCATGTGATGCATGTTCACACGCATACACACCTCCTGCTGTGGTGTAATATGTGTAATGATAGATTTGGGGCTGTAACTAATGATTTTCTTCATTGGTGATTAATTATTTGATTTTCTTCAACTATTTAATTAATTGCAAATCTTCGACATGTCAAAAAATTAGCGACATAAGTGACA